TCTTAATGCATAATAAACAACTTGACAGCAATTTAGCCGTAGAATCGTTAATCTTGAATATTTTTTCATAAAATTTGGTACAGATCCATTTCAGGAGACGCCGAATCCAGTGGCGTACGCAGATTTTTTCTAAAAAAGTCGCTAATGTGGATTCTGGATTTTTCAGCCTCTGAATGTGATCTAGTAGGCCTTAGTTTAAAAAAGAACTGGACGCCGCCTGGCCCCAAAATACACCTTTGCCCCCTCTACATTTAAAAAAAAAATTCGTCACAATCGCTTATATATAAATAAAAATATTATGAGGGTGGTCCGCTTTCAAATGGGTCACTCTGTATTATTTTATTTTACCTTTTATGATTGTATTTTATTTAAAATTATGCTAAAAGGTATATTTACTAAATCAATTTAGATTTCACTATCGTTATCAAATTAACTTATCCAAGCAAATGACAATTTAATAAAGATTCATTCAATCCCCAACAAGCTATATGGAAATTTATAAACCAAAATAGAAAAGTACCTAGAAATACAATAACGCAAATTACTTGCTATGAATTCAAATTTTCTTTCACCCTGGCTTCATGTCACGAAGTCATAACACATCTTAAGGGCATAAAAAGTTACGATATTTCAGTAAAAATAGTGAAGACTATTAAAGACACTATAATATTTTCTCTTACTCAGCTACTTAATATATGTCTGTCCGAGAATATTTTCCCTAGTTGTCTCAAAATCTCTAAAGCTATACCAATATTTAAAAAAATGATACCAACGATCCATTAAACTACAGACCTATACCGATCATCTCCTGTTTTGCAAAAATTTTCGAAATAATATTGAAAAACCAACTTCTTGTATATCTAGAAAATAGCAATCTCTTCAGTTCGGCTTCAGAAGTAATATATCAACTATCTTTGCAATATTCATTTCTAAACAATGAGTTTTAGTCCAGACGGTATCTGTTTCAAAAATTCCATATTTGGGTGAATCGTATATCCACGGAGATTTTTGGCTTTTTGGCTTTCAAATATCACTAGAAATGAAAATTTTTCTATCCGCATAGAAAAACGTGGGCTTAACTTTTGGCGGCACAATATGTTAAAAAAATTTGAAAAATGTCATATTTTTCTTCCTATTTAATTATGTATCTTTGAAAGAGTTGATTTTAGGCGAAAATGGAAGAGGAAAAAAATGTTTGTAATTAAATTTTTTACAAAATATGACTAGCTACAAATCGAATGGATCATGATTACTATTGCAAAAATCGAAAATTCGACAAAAATGGGGTTAAAAAACATTGATTTTTAGAGAATTTTTTGGGGTCTTTAAATTGGGTATAGGACCTTCATACTTGGCTCAAGAAAACTTCATGTTAGGTAGAATTATCACACCAAATCTCATCAAAATCGGTTTGATAGATTTTGCATAATAATTTTGCAATCCAGATTTCTTAAAAAATTGCAAATTTTCAAAATTTTGCATAGCAAAAACCAAGGCCCCTAGATACTTCAAAATTTAGTCACATATAGAAGGGTTCTCAATCTTTCAAAAGCTTTTTGAAAAATTCGAATCTGTCAATTAGGAGAGCTCTGGCGCTTATTTAAACATTGGTCGAAATTTTGTACTTATAAACAATTAGAATAACTTTGTGAATATTCAATCAAATTTTAAATAAAAAAAACAGATCGATCAAAGTTAACCGTCATTTACACTAAATCTACCGGGACATCCAAGCTAATTTTTCGAAAAATACCTTTGGTATTCCGAGTACTTACCAGGTCTAAGTTTGCAATACTTTTCTTCATTGGCAACCTACTTTAAAACGTGTCTAAAGTTATTTATGCAAGCGAGAAATTCAAGAAAATCGTTTGTTGACCTCACCAAAGCTTTTGATTGCATCTTTCACAATATACTCATTGATAAATTATAATTTTATTGTACACTGAAAGCACATCACTTATTCAGTCGTACCTCTGTGATAGACAACAATACGTGGTTCATAACAACTACAAATCAAAAACATTAAATTTGAATTGCGGAGTACCTCAAGGTTCTGTTCTGGGACCACTATTATTCCTATTATATATAAATGATTTCCCAACTTCTGTAAGGAACGACATGTTTGCGATTCTTTTCGCTGATGACACTAATTTATCCATAGCCAATAGTACCTTGGATAATCTGATGGTGGACATTTCCATTAATCGAGGATGACGCATTACATTGGTTCACTTCAAATGGTGAATGATGTGTGTCAAATTATTCTATGAACTTGGATACTGACTGGCTACATAATTCTAAAAGATGAAGTAATTAATAATAAAAGAAAAACTCAAAAAAAGTTCAGAAACTGAAAACAGATTTTCGAAACATTAACAACTTTTTAATGTGCTTGAAATAAAGTGATGTTTTTTTTCAGTGTGTGATTTTTTGGTTAGGCAAAACTATTTTCATAAAAATAATCCTGACTGATCCTTTTGAGAATTTGTTTCACTAACTTTTAAATTTTTTCACAGGAGCAAAACACCCCAAAAATAAAAAATAATATTCAAATATATTTGAAAAATGCGTTATTTTTTAACTTTTTTTTACAATAATCTGTATCTCGGAAACCTGTCGCTTTATTATGGCTTTTAAGACTTAAAAAATATGTATTTTTCCACCAATATTTTGGCTAAACAAGTAAATAAGTAATTAAAATTAAACTCATTTAATTTACCTTTCAGATATATTATTGTACAAGAAAACAAAACTCCATCAGTTTTTTTATAGAGGCAAATATTACGAGTCAGAATTGCGTACCTAATAATAAACTTTTGTTGGGGTAGATCAACAAAAAAAAGTGACGTGCTATTTATAGAAAGCTTATTATTTGATAAACTCCCGCTGAACATTCAAGGATGCTGCAAAGTGCGTTGTTTTCAGTTACGCAAAATATTTATAGGTTGCGTCTAATGAATTAGATCATTTCGGCAATTACGAAGAATGCTTGAAATGGCTCATGCCAAATACTCATCCTTGTTTACAGCCGAGTACGGTAACTTAATTAATTAAATCCTTTCTCAAAGGCCCCATTATGTTTTAAATAGAATCGCGAAAACAAAGCTATATCGAGAGAGTTAAGGTCAATTTGTATTCCTGTCTTACCTACCGCGTTATTTTTTGTTTTAAGCTAAAATTAGGCTGTTACAAATTAAAACGTACTACGGTTTTTGTCCTTGGAAAATATTTCATTAATTTCAACGTATTGTCTCATCCCCTGCTGATCCTAGGCGTGCCTCAGTGTTCGAGTTTAGGTCATCCAGCGTTGCCCGTCAGAATCGTTACAGTTTTAATAATTTATATATTTTATATAACGGCTAAAGATGTTTTTAAATTTTGTGAATTGAATATTTATTTTGGTGGAAGTTGGAAGGGGTTTCATTGAATGGCCCTCAAGATCGCCTGATTCAACACCATTGGACTTTCTCTTACAAGGTCATTTAAAAGTGTTATTTATAAAACGAAACCTACCTCATTAGAGGATCTTCGCCACCGAATAGTGGTACCATGTGATGAAATAACGCCTTGAAATGGGACAAAATCCTCGGGAAAATGTTGAACAAATGCTTTATACCTGTATGGAAGTAAATGTTTTCAATTTGAACATTTAATTAATTAAAACTTGTCTGAAAACTTTTTTTTTCGATTTATTTCACCGACACTTCCAACAGGTTTTTTTTATATTAATTTTAAGGCAGAGCAAAAAATTTCACCATGTTTGTAAAGAGAATTGAAATACCTTTAAAATAATGTGTCATTTAAGATTCTTGAAGGTGTTGCCACCCCGTTTAGGGGGATGATCCTACATCCATGAATTTATTATCAAAAAATGTCCTCCTTGAAAGCAAAATTGACTTGATTCGGGGTTTTCCGGAAAAACTTGTTGCATTGAAAATATTTCAGGTGGACTGTTTTAATTGGGTTACCCTGTATGTGTGCATTTGCTATGTGAAAGCAGATAAAAAAATAATTAATATAGTTTATTTCGGATTAAATTGAGCATATAATTTTAATATGGGGAGTAAAAAATTTCCAATTCCACATTAAATATTTTGTCCTTCGTGAATTTGTACAGCTTGTTCACTCACAAAAAAATCACATTTTCCTCAGATGCTGCAAAATATGTTACTACTTGTCCGATTTGTGTGCAAAATTGTTTGGCAAATTCCATAAAAATATTCTCCTTTATTAATTTTCTTTATCTTCTGTTTTAGTTTTCTAAAACAGATTTATTTTGTTGTACGTGTAAATCAATCGATATGTAAGTATGACCATTCAATGTAACAAAAGATTTAAAATTAGGGTGTGCAATAATAGTTCATACAACGATTAAATCTGTTATTATGTTACATTATTACTTTGAGATGGGTGGTCTTTATATTTAATTACTACAAATTGGCAATTCAATCAATTTAAACCAGTAATAAAAAGTGTTTGATTGTTTTTAATTTAATTCCTCAATAACATTTTTTTTTTTGGTCTTCTTCAAAATTGGCATACATCCATTATTTCTTTCTGCAAAAGAATCAAGAATGTGATTTTTAATTCTAAAAATTATTTATTGCTGTAATTCGGGAGCTGCTAAAATATTTGATAAAGTTATAATATGGAAAAGTTTTTTCATTTCAACATTGTAATAACTTTAAAGTTTTTGAAATTAAAATAGTTATGTCTACTTTGTTGAACAGTAATCAATAAAACTGTTCATTTAAGAGAGGATACTTTCAGTAAAGTATCAAATATTAGTTTAACTACATAAAAGTTCTTTTTCTGATTTAACTAATATGCCGCGACTGATTTTTTAGCCGCTGATAAACATTTCGGTATATCCGTGGCATGTTATCTAAACTGCTAGTATATTTGCCGTGTAATTAATGAACGAATTTCCTATCGACATTTTGAATGCAAGCATATGTTCAACGAACAAACAAATCATTAATTACTCTCCCCTTTTTCAGATAGCACGAGCAGCGATTTTCCGTGACCAGAGTCAACTTTGATGGATCCACGATGAAAAACGAATCAGGGGAGGACTTTTCATGGAATTCTTCTTATGTTTACGGAGTAGACAACGAGAGCGGCTGGGGAGACAGATATTTTTTCACATATTACTCTGAATTTGACGGGAAATCACCACTGTTCGCCGCGATAGAGGTCTCGATATTTGCCTTCATTTTCGTCGTATCCGTTGTGGCCAATGCATCGATTGTAGTTTGTGTATTTAGGTAAGTTATCGTCGATCAGCATGTTTTGAGTAGCTGAACCCTACCAATATCCAACGTACAGAGTTAATAGAAAGCGTAAACAATTTTAAGAAACATGGTAAAGTTCATATGTCCGGAAACGCTTCAAAAATCAGTTTTTGTATACATCTTGCAAATTGGTTGACCTAATTAATTCAAATTTGGTACAAGATATTACTGTCCCCACGATCTGATTATAGCGATGATAAACGAGATAATTCATGGGTGAAGGTTCAAAAAATTATATAATGTGATTTTACAACTTTTCTTGACGGTGTACCCACCCATGATAACATAAATTGTCGGTATGTCACTTGTATCCACAGATGAAAAAAAGTTGCTATGAATTCGTTTCAAATAGGATGCTAAATATTAAAGTGAACGCGTAACATTTTTATTTAATGAGAAATACAGGGTAGCCCATCGAAAACGTACCGCAAGGCATTACAGGGTAGTAAGGAATTTTTCGGCAAAATCCAAAAACAGGTCAAATTTGTTTCTGAGGGGGACAACTTTTGGCTCAAAAAGCATACCAAAATCTTCAACCCCCTAAGTGGGGGTGCTATCCCCTAAATTTTTTCAAATGGGAATGGGGGTCAAGTGGGGGGTCATTAGAAAGGGCTTTTAATTCTCTATACATCGATTCTTACTTTTTGAAAATCGATTCATTATTTTAGAAAATATGCAGCTTTGAAAATACGAACAATATTTTTGACGAGAAATGCGAAAATCGATTTAATTTTACTTCAAAACTTACGGTATTAGTCAAGTAAATGCTGAAAATGTTGTCCGCCAACTTGCATACAATGATACAGGTTGTCTTCAAACCGTTGTCGAACATTCTGGAGCACTTGCGGTGTTACTTCGCGACATACATTAATGATTCGTCCTCGCAGATCTTCCAAGGTATCAGGTGGAGTGCTGTAAACTTTGCTTTTAATGTGCCCCCAGAGAAAGAAATCTAAAGGATTTAAGTCGGGTGACCGAGGGGGCCACTCAATTGCACCTCTTCGTCCTATCCAGCGTCCTGGAAACGTCTCATTTAGGTAATTGCGCACATTGAGCGAGTAATGTGGAGGAGCTCCGTCTTGCTGGAAAATCAGTTCGTGTTCATTGTAAGCAGGGTCGTCCTCTATGATATTTGTTAGAGCTGGGTCGATGACATTTTGTAGTAAATCCAAGTACATATCGCCTGTCAAATTTCCAGGAAGGAAAAAAGGACCTACAATGGAATTTCCAAAAATACCTGCCCATACATTCAACTTCTGGGGGTGTTGGGAGTGTGTCTCATGGAAAATCCTTGGATTGGTATCAGCCCAGTAACGACAATTATGGCGATTCACTAAACCATTCAAGAAGAACGTACACTCGTCCGAAAAACACACATTAAAGAGGAAATTATCGTTTATCGCTCGTTCAGTCATTATTTCGCAAAATTGCAAACGACGATCAAAATCGTCTTCATTTAGCTCTTGCACTAGCCGAATCTTATAAGGATGGAATTTGTATTTTTTTAATATTCGTTGGACACTTGTACGACTCACTCCTGTCGCAGTAGCCAATTGCATTGTACTCAGCGTACTATCCATTGCCACTTGCCCCAATACCGCTATTTCCGTAGGTTCATTTAGTACCGGATTTTCAACCTGCCTCTTTTTGTTATGAACGGAGCCAGTTTCGCGAAATTTGGCCACCAATTCGCGAACAATTTTTCCAGACGCATGTTTCTCAGGATGCCGTTGGTTGAACAGTTCGGCGACCCGATTTCCGCATTCATTGTTTTTGAAAAAAAGCTCAATAATTTCTACTCTTTCTGGAATTGAGTACACCATAATTAATCAATTTAAAAGACTCGGCAGTATTGGTACTCTTCAACTACAAGTCACAAGACAGTTATCTAGCAACTTCTTGTGGCCTATCTAAATACGAAACAAAAAGCGGACAATTTTTTGCTCACCAAAATCAGGCTAAAGAATTCGCAAATCAGAAAAAAAAACAGCGAATTCTTTTGAAGGAATTTACCAAGCTAATACCGTAAGTTTTGAAGTAAAATTAAATCGATTTTCGCATTTCTCGTCAAAAATATTGTTCGTATTTTCAAAGCTGCATATTTTCTAAAATAATGGATCGATTTTCAAAAAGTAAGAATCGATGTATAGAGAATTAAAAGCCTTTTGTAATGACCCCCCACTTGACCCCATTCCCAGTTAAAAAAATTTGGGGGGTGGCACCCCCACTTAGGGGGTTGAAGATTTTGCTATGCTTTTTGCGCCAAAAGTTGTCCCCCTCAGAAGCAAAGTTTACCTGTATTTGGATTTTGCCGAAGAGTTCATTACTACCCTGTAATGCCTTGCGGTACGTTTTCGATGGGCTATTAGGGAATGTGTGGAAACTGTCTTCCTTACATATCCATGCAAGATCTACATGCTCTCAAAATATCCCAGGTTGTGTTACAATCTTCTTTCGTGCGCCGTTGTAGAATGTGCAAATTTTCGACTGGTTCTACGTACACCAAACTTTTAAGACAACTCAGAATAAAGAGGTCCAACATAGTCAGGTCTGATGATCTAGGTTCACCATGTCCAATCTACCTTTATTCATAAGTTTTATTTACGTACTTTTGAACTGATCGTGAAAAATGATATGAACCACAAACGCCTAACTCTGTTTCAAGTCTTCAAGTAATGCCTATACCACCTCTCTTTGACCCAGAAAATTGAAAATTCCTTCCCTTGTAAAAACTGCCTCATCCTCGAAAAGGATGAATGCTTAGGATTGTCAGCATGTCAGTCTTTTGGATTGAGTGCTTGAATACGTGGGATGTGGTAGGGGGTGGCTAACAGGCTATAATATTTGTCAGGTTTTTATTAAAATTTCGACTGTCCTGCAGCCTTTGAATAAGTCTGGTGAATATTCAAGCAGGATAAGAAAAGTAATAAGCATGCAGATGATGAGCATCAAGTCAATTACCACAGGCACGTCCACACATAAAATGCATGTCTCCCATCTTTGTTTGGTATGCAATGCAATGTACGAGGGCGGGTCAATAAGTCCGTGACTTTTTGAATTTTCCGCCTCTTAATTGAAATGGCAACACTGCTCCTGTCAACAGGCAACTGTCAAGTTGACTCCTGTCTAAATTTGAACAAGCTGCGTCATTTAGTTTGTGTTTGCAGCCGTTGATAGCAGACTACCGCTCGTTTTGAGAAGAAAATGAAAAAAAGTGAATTTCGTGTGCTCATTAAGCATTATTTTTTGCGGGAAAAAACCATCACTCAAACCAAGGCTAAGCTTGATAAATATTATGGGGACTCTGCACCATCCATTTCTATGGTAAACAAGTGGTTTACTGAATTTCGATGTGGCCGTACAAGCACGGAAGATGGCGAACGTTCTGGACGCCCCGTTGAGGTCTCTACATCCGAAACAATTGAAAAAATTCACGATATGGTTTTAGCCGATCTGAGATTGAAAGTGAGAGAGATTGTTGAAGCCATATGCATCTCACATGGCTCAGTGGTTTCAATTTTGAATGATCACTTGGGTATGAGAAAGCTTTCCGCAAGATGGGTGCCGCGTTTGCTCACAATCGACCACAAACGCAATCGTGTGACGATTTCGCAGGAATGTTTGGCGTTGTTCAACCGCAATATGGACGAGTTTTTGCGCCGTTTCGTAACCGTGGACGAAACGTGGACCCGCCACAACACACCGAAGACCAAACAGCAGTCAAAACAGTGGGTTTCTCGGGTTGAATCGGCGCCAAAGAAGGCAAAGGTGGGTTTGTCAGCCAATAAAGTCATGGTGACCGTTTTTTGGGTTGCACGCTGTATAATCCACATTGACTACCTTCAAAAGGGGAAAACAATCAATGGCGCATATTATACCAACTTATTGGGCCGATTCAATGAGGAATTGAAAAAAAAACTACCGCATTTGGCCAAGAAAAAAGTTCTTTTTCGCCAGGACAATGCAAGGGTGCACACGTGTGCAGTTTCCATGGCAAAAATCCATGAATTGGGCTACGAATTGCACACTCATCCGCCCTATTCTCCAGATTCAGCCCCGAGTGACTATTTCTTGTTCCCAAACTTGTAGAAATGGCTCGGCGGAAAGAGATTTGACTCCAACGACGAAATCATCTCACAAACAATTGCCTATTTTGATGATCTCGACAAATCATATTTTTCGGAAGGGATAAAAAAATTGGAGAAACGTTGGACTAAGTGTATAGAACTCAAAGGAGACTATGTTGAAAAATAAAATAAATTTTTATATAAAAACCTGTGATTCATTCAAAAAGTCACGGACTTATTGAAGAAGGGTTTTAAAATCACATTTTGCAATTTCCCCGAAAAGAGCTATTGAAAAGGTATAATTTGAAAAGTGCTACCACTTTTGCGAAAATTTCAAAAAGGATGACGATGTTCCTGAATCTCCGTATATGAATGACAACTAGCGTTGTCGTATTTAAATCATAGAGGCTTATTAGGTAATGTGTTGTTTTAAATTTGAATAGATTTGATCTACTCGTTTGGAAGATATAAACAAAAATGACAGAACTTTTAATACCCATTTTGCAAATTCGTGTCAAATAGAGTCATTTTCTTATCTTTTTTTTTCAATTTCTTTACATATTTTTATCTCCCTGTACACCAGATTTTATGAAAGGAAGTCTCATATTTAGGAATGTTTTTTATAATATATATTTTAAGTTTACGTACATATAATTAAATTTTTAATTAAGGCTGATATTTAAAGTACAATGATTTTTCGGCCTATGCAATTAACTTGCACTTCATTAGCCTTAGCTAGGAATCTTTGACCTGCCCTTATTGTTCTCGAGCTAGGCTCTGTTGGGGCGGAATCGCAATCAGAACACCTAGGTCGGTCCTGATATTCATTTCGGTTCTCGTTGGTTGCAAACGGAACCTCTGCTCAGACAATGATGATCCTTTTAGATGTTCCATAGTGGCCTTTGA